CTCTCTCTCTCACTCACTCACTCACTCACTCACTCTCTCACTCTCTCACACACACTCATAAGACTTACAGAGAACAGAAAATATTTATTTCTAATATTTAATACATTTTTAAAAATGGTTAATAGTTTTAAACGTTTCGACCGCTTTAATTGCATAATAATTATACATTGTGATAATGTAGTTTAGCTATTTTAAAAATAAAAATTTATAGCAAAACATATCCACATTGTATTTGTCGGTAAAGTCTATGCGTTAATTCGACATAACTTTCGCAGATTTTGTCCAAAACATACAACTCGTCGGTAATTACATTGGGATCAAAGCCTATCTTTTCTAAGCCTTGTTTATTCAGTTTATACGTTGCGGTCACTGCTATGTTATCGGCCAGTCGTACAAACACGGGAACGGCATATGAGGGTAGCTCATGACATAGTGTTTTATATAACTTTTTCATATCTATGGGAGCATTAGGTAGTCGAGCTATGACAACCATACCTGCCTTTCCCTCGCAGTTGTCTATAGGGACGCCAAATACCGCACAGTCGGTCAGACCAACGGCTTTCTGAATGATAGCCTCCACTTCAGTCGTCGATACGTTTTCTCCTAATTAATTGGTATTTAAAATATATTTATTAAATAATATTTATATTATACTACTGTATTCATCAGTGTATTCAATTATTTTATTATTATTCAATTAAATAATGTGTAATTTAAATATTAATATTGTAATACAGTACTTTCTTAAAACTCTACTGTATAACAATATGTTAATAATTAAATTATTCTTTTATATTAGTAATATAAAACTAGTTATATAAAATTAGTTATATAATACTACTCTATAATTAAAAATTAATATGTTGAAAGAGACTGTAGTTTATTATTTACAATTTAGCAAATGTATATTACTTAAACTTTCCATAATAATACGGCTTTGTCAAAAAAGGAAAATTTATTTTTAAATTTCTATATTGTAAAAAATAAACAGTTTATAATAAAATTTTATTGTAAAATATATATTAATTTATTTTTAAAAATACTTTTAAATTAATATTATAATTAACAAACACTACCTTTCCACCTGAATGTATCTCCCATCCTATCCCTGAAGTACAAGTAGCCCAACTCATCCATTTCCATGAGGTCCCCTGACCTGTACCCTACATCTCCCGGTGCTAACACATTGCGCACAATTTTTTTCGCAGTGGCCTCGCTATCATGATAGCTAGCGTAGGCCCGGGAGGGGTCAGTTCCACGAACTACACCCACTATTTCGCCAATTTCTCCCATCTCTACGGGAACACAGATACCGTTCTCGTCCCGTACGGGTTCCCGAGTGTTTGGATCCACTTTAACTACAACCACTGGGAATATGAGTTGACATAACCAGGGTGGTATACAACGTGGTAGGAAACCACAGGCGCCCACTTTGCCGGTGATGTTGGCCACACCGGAGTTCCCTTCGGTCGACCCATAAAACTCGATGATCTGTTTGATATTAAACCGGGTCTTAAAGTCTGTCCATAAATTTTGTCGCAAACCGTTGCCAAACATAATGCGAAGGTTGTGCTGTCTGTCCACCGGCTTATCCGGCTGAGCTAATAGGTACCGGCATATCTCACCGATATACATAGCAACCTGGTTTAAAAAATTATTATAATTATAATATTATTGACAATAATTTATTGTACATGTATTTTATGCATACTATGCTATTATTTGAGATATTTTAATGGTTGTAGCTAAATAAAGTATTATACAGTATAATAATATAGTTAATAATATAGTATAATATAATTATAGTATAATTAGTGTTATTCTTAATATTATTAATAATGAGCTAGTAAAAATAATTTTACTAAAAATTTTAAGAATTTTAAGGTTAATTACTTAAATGGGCCAGTATTTAAGTCAATTAACTTTGTATATAGAAAACAATAAAATTAAAAATAAATTACAGTTTAAATACTGTACATATTGGTAAATATATTAAGTTTTGATTTATTATTTAAATTATTATTATTATTTAGTTTTATTATGAATAAAATTTAATTTAAAAATAGCGGACTTACAGTGCATTTATATCTAATACAGTCGTCCCAGAAATGTGTGGCCGAGAACTTCCGGCCCAGTGTTACGGTAGTGCCAAATAGGACGGTCTGAGCGATGCCAACAACCCCCGCGTTTGTGTGATAGAGGGGCAGAGTTATGTAGATATTGTCGCGTAGGCCTATCCCAATGGTCGACCTAATGAGTGCTCCCATCCATAGAAACCTGTGGTGCCTAATGGCGGCAGCTTTGGGTAGACCTGTAGTTCCCGACGTGAAGATATAAAACAGGGTATCACCAAAGTTGATATCATATAGAGTATCAAGGTATTTATTGGAGGATATGTCTAAAAGTTGGTGCAATGGTTCTGAAGGAATATCCCGGTTATCATCAGCTATCACATGATCACTGTATATATAATATTCCATCAATGGGTTTATATTTTTCACCTTGTTAATTACATCTCGAATTGAGTTTGCAAACTCTGGTTCATATATCAAGGCCCTACATTTGATTACAGTTAGGGAATGTATGAGCGTTTCCATGCGTTGACTGGTGTTAATTAGGACTGATATGATGCCGACCTTAGATAGACCGAGCCATAGGCCCACAAACTCTGGTCGGTTGTCCATCATGAGTGCCACGTGATCACCCTTTCCATAACCCATTTCCAAGAAACAGTTGGTCACCCTATTTGAAAAATTATCGATTTGAGCGAAAGTCCACACGTCGTCCCTATAGTAAAACATGACTCGATTCGGGTATTTAAAAGCTATTTCTTTGAATACTTTTGGCACCGATTTGTTATGTCGTTTGCATTTATACAGGAAAAACTTAGCAGGCAATAGTTTTGTAGTTTTTAGATCTCGGGGTAATGTTAACCAGAATATTCGTATTGGATGCCAGTAGTTGCCTATAAAACTTATGATTAGGCAGGCCACCCAGCACAGTCGTAGCCATGGATTAATGTGAAATAATAATGAAATGATATATGCAATTAATAGGGCTATTAAAAATGAGTCCATTATTGACAGTAATTTTATAATAATAATAATACTAATAGGATGTTTATTTAAGTGAACTACTTAAATTAATACAAATGCATTATAAATTATAACATGTTTAGTAATTATGTTAAAATATTTTAACCCCTCATTATAGCAATTGAGATCTCTCATTACAATATACAACAGGGCAACTCATATAATATCATATTATACAATTCAAGTAAGCTTGAATAATATACAGTGGTGTTGTTATGTTATGTGTGGGTAGTTTTAGTATCGACCTTTGCTGTCAGATTATATCAGACTATTTCAGACTTATGTTGTCAGGAAATTAATTATTAAAAAAATTCTAAAAATTATTAAGAATTCATTTATTAAAATGATTTGTAACATCAACATGTGTGCCTATGAATTTACTATTAAGGGTGTTTTGGTAATTATATCAAGTTATTTACGTGTTTAATCTAATAACAATATTTATTATTATATTAAACCACCTAAATTTTTAGATTCGCGTTAAATTGAGCATATGTTATTCAAAGTAATACATTATGTTTTTCTATAAATATATTTTACTAACATTAACAAATATTAACAATATTAACAATAACTGGTGATTACAAATATTTAATCATATTTTGTAGTTAAGTAGTTAAGACGAAATATAATTAAATTATAACAAATTTTGTTGATTTCTTACACACACAAAATTCAAACCACCTTTTTGTTTATTGAGAATGTCCAATATTCACACATTTACAATCTTACCCGCGTTCATTACCCATACAAAATCAATATGATTTCAGACGGGATTATGGAGCTCATAATTGTCCAGTAATTTAAATAATTGTAAAAAAGAAAATATAATCATTATCTCATATTTCTTGTTAAATTAAAGACTTTTTAAAGCATGACACTATTCGTAAAGGTTTTATAATAATTTATTTATGAAATAGTATTGACAAATCGCGGTTTATGTTTTCTACATACTCTAGTAATTGATTTGTTAAAAACATTAATTTTGAAGTTTTTAATTAGGTTAATATGTGTTTTATCAAATCCTTTGGTTTTGATGCAAAGAAATAATTTGCAAACATTAAGTGTAC